GCAGAGCTGACAGAGGAAATGGTAGAAGGTGTGCATATCGATGACGCTGTTGAAGCTGTTTACTAATACTATTATTCAGGCAGCTATGCTCTCCATTCCTAGAACATCAGGAAAAAACACTAAAATATTCGAAACCGTGGTGGAATCGCGACTGTCATGAAGCACTGAAAAAACAGAAAAAAGCATGGGGTATTTTTCGTAGATATCCTACTCTGCGAAACCTCATAGCTTTTAAAAGAGCCAAAGCAAATGCACGGAAAGTAAGAAGGCAGAGCCAGAGGGATTCCTGGATTTCATATGTGTCCTCAATAACATCCTCTACGCCTAGTAAGCGGGTTTGGGAAAGAGTTCGAAAAAGCATGCGGAATGTACAAAGACCACTCACTTTCCTTTCTGGAAAAAGATGGCCGAGTGATTAGCTCCATAGAAGAAATTGCAAATAGAATTGGTGAGACATTTGCTGCCGTTTCTTCCAGCCGAAATTACTCACCTGCATTTCTTTCTATCAAGCAACGCTCTGAGAAAAATCCCATCGCTTTCAACTCTTCCAACTTTGAGCCGTACAATAGAGACTTTACTATGGTCGAATTAAAGAGAGCTTTGTTGCAGACACATAGGTCTTGTCCGGGTCTGGATGGCGTGTATTATGAAATGCTAAAGCATCTGTCCTATAAGTCACTGAGTGCCCTTCTCACACTTTACAACAGAGTGTGGAAGGAGCGTACATTTCCCAGTGCATGGAGGAGAGCTGTTGTCATTCCTATTGCGAAGCCAGGGAAAGACCCGAGGAATCCCTCGAACTATCGGCCAATTGCCCTTACCAGTTGTGTTTGCAAACTGTTTGAAAAGATGGTAAACAGCCGCCTAGTCTACTTCTTGGAAAAGAATAATATTATATCGCCTTATCAGAGCGGTTTTCGACAGGGGAGAACGACCGTAGACAATATGCTTCTATTAGAGACATCTATTCGAAAAGCCTTTGTCAGAAGAAGTCACCTTGTCTCAATATTCTTCGACATTGAGAAAGCTTATGATAAGGCATGGAAATACGGTATACTCCGGGATCTTCACGAGAGTGGCTTGCGCGGCAACCTACCAATTTTCATACAGAATTTCTTGAACGCTAGAACTTTTCAAGTAAGGATTGGCTCTGTTTTTTCGGATGTTTTTCAACAGGAAGAGGGTGTGCCTCAAGGCTGTGTGCTTAGTGTAACGCTGTTCAGTTTAAAAATAAATTCTGTATTAAAAGAACTTCCTCACACCATCTTAGGATCACTATATGTAGATGATTTACAGATTAGCTGTCGAGGAGCAGACATGAGATACATAGAGAGGCAATTGCAGATGGCTCTGAATAAGATCCAAGAATGGTCAGACAAACAGGGATTTACTTTTTCGAAACAGAAAACTGTGTGCGTGCACTTTTGTAGGAAGCGAGGTCTCCATCCTGAACCTGAGTTATATCTAAATGGTACAATTATTCCAGTTGCGCCCGAAGTAAAATTTTTAGGAGTAACGTTCGACCAGAAATTGACTTTCCTTTCTCATGTTTTAAACCTGAGAAAGAAGTGTCTCAAAACACTAAATATGTTAAAAGTGTTGGCGAACACCTCCTGGGGTGCAGAGCGTTGCTCCATGCTTCGCATTTACAGAGCTCTTGTTCGCTGTAGACTAGACTACGGGTCAGCTGTTTATAGATCCGCTCGGTCTTCAGTGTTGTTAAAACTAGACCCTGTTCATCATGAGGCTGTACGGATTTGTTCTGGAGCCTTCACGACGTCTCCTGTCCAGAGCCTTTATGTTGACTGTTACGAACCATCACTTCGTTTGAGGCGTGAAGAGGTGTCTCTTTTACAGTATTTTAATATTTTATGTCTACCTGACCATCCTTATAACTTGTGTATACGTGACAATAGCTGTGACCTTTTATTTGAGGCACGTCCATCCTGTGTGCTTTCTTTCCCTCTCAGAGTTAGAAATCTCCCTGTTTGATATTTCGCCACAGGCAGTACAGCATTTTGAAATTGCACCTTGGGAAAATGTACAAAGCCACCTTCTTGACATTTTCGACAATTACGGAAAAACAACTACTAATGATAGCATCTACAGACAAATTTTTGCTGAGCACAGGCATAGTTACAGGAGTTATGTTTCCATATATACAGATGGCTCTAAGTCAGCTTGCCATGTTGGCATGTCATTTATAATTGGTGACCACGTGGAAGGCAGACGTTTACACGACGCTTCCTCTGTCTTAACCTCCGAACTGACTGCCATATATTATGCGCTTTTGTACATCTCAACGCTGCACCATCGAAAATTCATTGTATATACGGACTCCTACAGTGCATTGAAAGCTTTAGAATCCTTTTCTAGCACTGAGAATCCTGTGATAGTGGATGTTCTCAAGTTGAATATTAAATTGACATGTAGTGGATTTGAACTTCTGTACTGCTGGGTCCCAGGACATACAGGAATAAAGGGCAATGAACTGGCGGACATCGCAGCGAAATCTGCTGTTGAAATGTCTGGCCGCCTCATCCCTTTTAAAGATATCCGTTGTGTCATAAAAAAGAAGATCCGAAAGAAATGGCAGCAACTTCGGGACATTCAACTTCATAACAAGTTGAGAAGGGTGAAGCCTAAACTGTGTGCGTACACTTTTGTAGGAAGCGAGGTCTCCATCCTGAACCTGAGTTATATCTAAACGGTACAATTATTCCAGTTGCGCCCGAAGTAAAATGTTTAGGAGTAACGTTCGACCAGAAATTGACTTTCCTTTCTCATGTTTTAAACCTGAGAAAGAAGTGTCTAAAAACACTAAATATGTTAAAAGTGTTGGCGAACACCTCCTGGGGTGCAGAGCGTTGCTCCATGCTTCGCATTTACAGAGCGCTTATCCGCTCTAGACTGGACTATGGCTCAGTTGTTTATGGATCCGCTCATCATCTGTTTTTAAAACTGGATCCTGTTCACCATAAAGGTTTGAGGATATGTTCAGGAGCCTTCAGGACTTCTCCTGTCCAGAGCCTGTATGTTGACTGTAATGAACCATCACTTTATCTGAGGCGTGAACAATTGTCCCTTTTGCAATATTTAATATACTATCCCAAACTGAACATCCCAATAAGCTGTGCTTACTTGATGATGTGAGTAACGCGTTATTTGAAACACGTCCATCTTGTGTTCCTACATTTCTTTTAAGAGTTCGCCCTGTCATTGAGGAACTTTGCCTCTCAGATATGCACCCCCAAGCAGTACAGATTTTTGAAATCGCACCTTGGGAAAATGCACGGATTCAGCTTCTTGATGTTTTTAAGTATCATGTGAAGGCAAGCACTAACGAGATTATTTACAGACAACTCTTCGCTGAGCACAGGAACAAATATAGCAGTTATCTTCCAGTTTATACAGATGGGTCCAAGTCAAAAGATCATGTGGGGATGGCATATGTATTTAAAGACCACATGGAGGGCAGACGCTTGCACAATGCTTTCTCTGTCTTAACATCCGAATTAACTGCGATATATTATAGTCTTTTATACATCTCAAGGCTCTGCTACAAAAAGTTTATAATTTATACAGATTCGTATAGTGCTCTTAAATCAATAGAAGCTTTTCCTAATACTCAAAATCCGTAATAATAGTGGATATTCTCAAAATACATATAAACTTAATGAATCGTGGGGTATGAAATCCTGTACTGCTGGGTTCCCGGGGCATGTGGGAATAAAAGGGAATGAGCTGGCAGATATCACAGCAAAATGTGCTGTTGAACTGTCCAGTTCGTCTCATCCCTTTTTGCAGACATTTGTTGTGTTGTGAAACAAAAGATCCGAAAAAATGGCAACAACTTTGGGATGTTCAGCTTCAAAATAAATTAAGACATGTAAACCTAGAATTGAGCACTTGGGAATTAACAAAAATCGTAAGGAGGAAGTTCTTTTGACTCGCCTCAGAATTGGTCACACTAGAGTGACACATAACTACCTTTTAAAAGCTGAAAATGAGCCTGTTTGTTTAACTGTAATGTTTGTTTATCTGTTCGTCATATTTTATTGAGTGTTCATGTTTTTAATAGTCTCGCCAGAAATATTTTAATAGCTGTGACTTACCTCGACCGTTTAATCGGAAGAGAGGTCAATTCTAATTTATTTTATTATTTAAAAAAGATATTGGCTTTTATTACCAAATGTAATTTTTTTTGAAGACTGTCTCTTGAATTTTAATATGTGCTTTTAACTTGTGTTTATATGACTTCATCTCTGGATTTTACATTATCTACTTGTTTTTATTATTGAATTTTAATGTCATCAATTGTAATCATCTCATCTTTGTTTGGCGCGTCATAATCATCTCTGGTTTTGCGCCATAATCACTCACTCACTCACCCGAAACGTAACATGACGCGAAGAATAATTGCCTGTTTTCCTGCTTAGCGGATTAGGGTAAAGCACAAAAGTGCTGGCTTTTAAAGGAAGGAATGCTTTCGTAAAACACATTTTGAGAAGAACTGGATCGCATTCACGTTACACGTGAAAATAGGTGTAACTAAAAATTTAACAGGAAGTAACCGTTGTGGAATTTCTGAAATCAAAGTAATTAAATATGCGTAATATAGTGGGTAACCTACAGCGTCTCAGTAACCTGGCCAGTTACCGAGGCTTCAAATTCTACGGTGTAAATTAATATAAAACCCAGAACGACCAAACGGGGGGGGGGCGTGTGTCGTGACAGGGGATAAAAAGCTCTTTGGCAAGTTGTCACTAGCTTTCTCTTCTAAATTACAATTTCGCTCTTGTTTAAACTGAGTTAATTTGCATTCTGATGGTGGATGACCGAAGAATAGAAGATGAAGAGAAGAATTAACTTGAAAAATTAATGTATTAGTTAATAATCTTACAGCAGACATTTCTGCAATCAAATTCCAACATTTCACATTTTAAAATATGTTTCACGAATATAACAATTTTAGGCTAGAAAATTTGTTGAATTTTTACCTTTAAAGACAGTAATTACATCTTCAATGACTGCGCTGCATGCTTCTTGATCTGCACTGATTTGATGAATCGTCAATAATGCCATACATCCCAAAGCAAGGATAAACTTTAATGAATTCATTATGAAGATATGCTAGTAAAACTCTGCTTCAACAGTGAGTAATATACAGAAATGCTGGTAATTATGGCACAGCAATAAATAATCCTAAATTTATATAGAATCAGATTTTTAAAGGGCATTTTTCCAGTGATATTTGAGCGTGACATTTTAAACACATTGATAAAAAATAAATTACGGTCTTTGGAAGTTCGATTTCTCCAAGCTGTCAGAAATGTGCATAATGTGAAAGTGACAAGGAAGAGGAAGTTTTATTGATTCTGACCTTGAAACCTGTTTAAATACAACGGGAATACAATTTTTTTCAGTGTACAAAGAGTTTTTCTTCGCATAACTATAAAATTCTTTTTCAAGCATTCAAACCCTGCTTTTTTACATATTCCTTTGCATCCATTTGTATACACGCAAGACATGGATTAATTATATGTTATTTATTTATAGCAATATATATGTGCATCCTATTGCGAGAATGACAAACGTTTTGAAATTGCATGCTACAGTTACAGGAAAAAAATATTTCACTTTATTTAAAAATCAAACAGATAAATAAAGATTGAAGGTTATTTTTTTTTATTATTATCAACTAGTATATTGTCATCACCACGCCCAAATCGCGAATCTGAAAAACCGTCGCTTTGCGCAATATACGTTTTAAATTGTTTTATGTATATTTGTGAGGCATTGACAAAATTTGTTATTTAAATCCGTTACAACTAAAAAATTCGGTAATCTGGTCAATTTTGGATGTCAACAATGTTGAATCATCAAGTATGCTGGAATGTTGAATTTATTGGTAAAATGCAGCAAAACCCATTTTGTAAACCCAATTTAACGTATTGTAAGAACACAAAAAAATTCCATATAGAGTTAGTAATTCTACAACTGACAGAAAATAAGCTAGAAGGTAAACTACAGAATAAACATAATTTATCATTCTGAATCAATATATATTCTGGAATCCGCAGTATTGCTGTTGCAAGAAGACTTTTCCGAGTTCGAATGTCGATAAATCATTGAGGAAAATATGGAGTTTCGTTACTTTTCCCCATGGTGAGAATATGCTTTAACCCAGTGTTTCTCAAACCAGTTTACTCGTTGGACTGGTAAAGTATTTCGGTGTTTTTATATCGGATCGGTAAAGTTAGTAATTTTGACTATCTTTATTATATTAAATTGTGGATATAAATAAAAATTTAAATTATTTGTAATAAAAATATAATTTGCTATTAGTAGCAAAAACCAAATATGTACCCATGTGTAGGGAGCAAAATAATATTAGTAAATAAGTCGAAAGGACATAAAAAACATTAAAAAAATAATTAAATGAATTTAATGCTGTTGTTCTTTTTAGCTAACATTTCAGTTCTAGATGTCAAACCAGTTACAGAAACACGCAAAGCACGTGCAAATTCGATGTTTTGTTTTAATAACGCACCCTAGCCCTTCAGGGGATCATCTTCTTGATGAGACTGGTGTCACGATCCTGGAGCCCCAGTGATCTATCCTCTTTTCCATCTCCTCTCCTCTTGGCTGAAACTTTTTTCCTTCCCTTCTCCCTTGTGGTTTCTCTCTACGGAGTTTTGGGGCTCGTCACGAGAGACTGGAGCAGTCCTTGCATCTAGATTTCGAGTGGCGAGAAAACCCGCGTGTTTGCCGTGCGTGGAGACCCGTGTCGCTGGAAAGGAGGGTCCGGGTAGTTGAGGGCGAGGTACTGTCCCCACACACTGCTTTGGCCTCTGCTTCAGCTAAAACGGGAGCCCTTAGTCGTCCTCACGGGTGTCAATCGGCTAGTCACTAGTCCTTGGGGTCAAGCTCTCGGGAGTACCTGCTTTCGGGAAAGCCGACTGTGGGGCTTCAGTTTCGTATAGGTCCGGCTAGCCCTAACACAGGAATCTGTGTTCCCTTGTAGGGCTCCGTGGTGGGCGGGGCCGTCGACCCGAATCTTTTCTCTTTTAAACATGGCTTCATTTTATATTAAAAAAAAACCTGACCCAAACGAAATTAAACAAGATATAGAAATACTTGAGAAACCTATTAGTAAGAAAATCCGTACTGATGTAATGCAAAGGAAACTACTGAAAATCCGCGCTTCTAGTTGTGTCTTGTCCTTCTGGTGAACTGCAAAGATGTCTCCTTTTCTAGTAAGCAAATACATTAACTCATGCATAGGTCAGCCAAAGAACATTAAGCGTCTCCGTTCTGGAGACCTGCTTATAGATACTGTCTCCCCAACCCAATCTGCTTCCCTTTTGTCACAAACCAAACTTGGAAATGTAGCTATAACTGTGTCAGCGCATAAACTCTGAATTTTTTTAGAGTGTTATCTCGGAAATCGACTTCTGTGTGTTTCGGAAGAAGATTCGTTTCCGAGTTTAGCGACCAAAAAGTCTGTGGCGCTAGGCGGATCAAGATGCGTAAGGAAGGTCAGTTGATTGACACCAAACACTGATCCTGACCTTCAAATCGCCTGATTTGCCTAAGAATATTAAGGCTGGATACCTCAATTGTCCTGTACTTCCACATTCCAAACCCTATGCGATGTTCCAGTGCCAGCGTTGGCCATTCGAAGATGTCCTGT